TTGGGGTTTGGGGTTTGGGGTTTGGGGTTGGGGTTTGGGGTCTGGGTTTGGGGGTTGGGGTTTGGGGTTTGGGGTTTGGGGTTTGGGTTTGGGGTTTGGGGTTTGGGGGTTTGGGGTTGGGGTTTGGGGTTTGGGGGGTTGGGGTTTCTGTGCTTGGCCCTCACCTGTGCAGCACCTCCGGGCTGGGAGGAGGAGGAGGAGAGGGGAAAAAAGCTTGGGAAAAAACCGGGAATGTGGGAATGATGTGGGAATTTGGCAGCTCCCAGCTCCGGGGGTTTGGGGTGGGGGAGGTGGGGGGGAGGACGTGCAGCTTCCACGAGTCAAACCCAAACCTCGAACCCAAAACCCCCCCAAAAAAACCCAAAACAAACCTAAAATAACCAAAAAAAACCCCAAAAATAACCAAAAAAAAACACCAAAAACCAAAAATAAAAACCCCAAAAGGAAAAACCGACCCACATTTAAAAATATCCACCGCCGTTTCTGTGTCTTCTTTGCATTTTTAAATTAGAAAATAAGTCCGTAGAACTCTTCTCTGTCTCCCTATGTACACACGGATATTTATAGGGGTATTTATAGAATTCCCAGGAACATCCCCAGCGGAATTCCCGCCCGGGAGCGGCTTTAGGAGACCCTGCAGGGCTTTTAGGGATCCCTGGAGGAGTTTTAGGGATCCCTTGATGATCTTTAGGAATCCCTGAAGGATTCTTAGGAATCCCTTAAGGATTTTAGGAACCCCTGGAGGATCTGCAGGATCCCTGAAGGGTTTTTAGGAATCCCTGGAGGGTTTTTAGGAATCCCTGAAGGGTTTTTAGGAATTCCTGGAGGGTTTTTAGCAGTCCCAGGAGGATTTTTAGCAGCCCCTGCAGGGTTTTTCCAAGTCCCTGGAGGGGTTGTAGGAATCCCTGGAAGGGAATCCCAGGAGGAATTCTCCGAGTCCCAGGACGAATTTTCTGAGTCCCAGGATAATTTTCCCAATCCCAGGATTATTTTCCGAGTCCCAGGAGGAATTTTCCAAGTCCCAGGAGGAATTTTCCGAGTTCCAGGAGGAAGTCTCCGAGTCCCAGGATGAATTGTTGGAGTCCCAGGATAATTTTCCCAGTCCCAGGAGGAATTTTCCGAGTCCCAGGATAATTTTCCCAATCCCAGGATAATTTTCCAAGTCCCAGGAGGATTCTCAGCAGCTCCCGGAGATTTTTAGCCCAGGGCCGAGCCCGCGCTGCCGTTCAGGGCGGTTTTGCGGCCTCGGGCGGGTGGCAGCGGGTGACAGCCGGGTGGCAGCGGGTGACAGCCGGGTGGCAGCGGGTGACAGTTCGAGGCGGAGCCGTTGAGAGCGGGCCCGGGCGGGCCGGGCGGCGATGCCAGCCCGGGGACCGATGCCAGCCCGGGGACCGATGCCAGCCCGGGGCTCTGCGCTTTGTCGCTGCCGGACTCGCACTCGGAGGCGCCGCTCGTGTTGGTGGCCTCGGGTGGCAGCGGCGGGCACAGCTGGAACCGCTGGCCGGAGGGCTGGACACGGTACTTGAGGGCCAGGGGACCGCTCTGGGGACACGGGGCACGGCTGGCACCGCGCGGGGACAGCGGCACTGCCACCCCCGCGGGGACAGCGGCACTGCCACCCCTTGGGGACAGCGGCACTGCCACCCCTTGGGGACAGAGGCACTGCCACCCCGCGGGGACAGCGGCACTGCCACCCCCATTCCCTGGGGACACCCTGGGGACACCGCCACTGCCAGCCACGGGGGACAGCGACACTGCCACCCCCATTCCTTGGGGACACCGCGGGGACACCGACACTGCCACCCCCGCCACCGGGGATGCCGAAAATCCCACCCGGAGCAAACGCCCCTGTCAGGAAAATCCCCCCACTCTGGGATTTATTACGGGAAAGGCTCCCCCAGGACAGACTTTCCCAGATTTCCCCAGCACAGACATTCCCAGATTTCCCCAGGACAGACTTTCCCAGATTTCCCCAGGACAGACTTTCCCAGATTTCCCCAGGACAGACTTTCCCAGATTTCCCCAGGACAGACTTTCCCAGATTTCCCCAGGACAGACTTTCCCAGATTTCCCCAGGACAGACTTTCCCAGATTTCCCCAGGACAGACTTTCCCAGATTTCCCCAGGACAGACTTTCCCAGATTTCCCCAGGACAGTCTTTCCCAGATTTCCCCAGGACAGTTTTTTCCCAGTTTCTCCCTGGATAAGTTTTCCCAGTTTTTTTCCCCTAGAACAAATATTCCCAGTTTCCCCAGCACAGACATTCCCAGTTTCCCCAGCACAGATTTTCCGAGTTTCCCCAGGACAGTTTTTCCCCGGTTTCTCCCTGGATAAATTTTCCCAGTTTTTTTCCCCTAGAACAGCTTTTCCCAGCATTCCCAGCCCAGATATTCCCGGTTTTCCGGCCGTTCCTCACCCTCCTCCAGGGGTAGATGTAGGCGATGTCCAGCAGGGTGTAATATTCCTTCAGGGGCTCGTCCTCGTACAGCACCTCCACCTGGAGCAGGGAAAGGGTGGGAATGGGAAAAGGATGGATCCAAACCCAGGGAAAGGGTGGGAATGGGAAAAGGATGGATCCAAACCCAGGGAAAGCACACCAGAGCAGGGATATTCGGGACAGGCAGGGATATTTGGGATATCAGGGCAGGGATATTTGGGATATCAGAGCAGGGATATTTGGGACAGGCAGGGATATTTGGGATATCAGGGCAGGGATATTTGGGATATCAGGGCAGGGATATTCGGGATATCAGAGCAGGGATATTCGGGATATCAGGGCAGGGATATTTGGGATATCAGAGCAGGGATATTTGGGATA